TACCCGTACATAAAATAAATATGTAATCGGATTACTGGTACATTTCTTAAAATTGGGGATTGCTAGCAGGATTGCAATGTTACATTATTTTTTAATATAATAAAGAATGATATTTTATGAAGCACATGCTGACACGTCTCAAAACGTTCTCTCCAGTGAGCATATGCAGTAGCCTATTTTCCAGTTCATCATCATCATCATCATTTTGGTTTCATTTTGACTACTTTCACTCGTTTTTAAATATCTTCCTTTTAAAAATGCACTTTGACGTTTGACACCTGATTTTTGACATGGTTCTGTTGTCTTAGATAATGCACAGAAATATTGTATTTGTATTTATTGGTATTGCATTTGATATGGAGGCAAATAAAAAATAGCAGAAAGTTTACATTTTTTTCTAAGATTAGGTTATTGATTACATTTCTTTTACAGGTAGCTAGTAATTGTAACGTTATATATTTTTAAAATAACCCTCCCAACCCTGACAATAAATGACCCCTTTTCACATAAAATCAGAAACAAAATGGTCGCACAAAGACTAAGATCTACATTGTATGACCTTTTGTCTACATCAGCCCTGCAGCAGCATGTCTGCTGACTGTCACTGTAAACAAGAGTCCCCTCCTAAATGACCTGATTGATGAAATTAAGCTTTGGACAAAAACAGACACGCGGACACACACTGCCTCTAAAGAAGAAAACCAACAAAGCTAATTCATTAGGGGACGACCAGCTCATTTGTATGCTTTGTAGGCACTACTTAAGATATGCTAAATATCCAGATGAGCGCCACAGTATAATATATTTTTGTCGTTGGCACAGTGGTGAGGACAGGAAATGGATGGGGACACGTCCTCTATCGCCGTGGAATTAATCTGAGAGTGCACGACGTACTGGGATTGGTCTCGGTGACTTTGGCACTTTAAAACAGCATGTGTCAGAACAGCTGGACCTCATGTATGCACGTGTGATGCAAAGGAGTGCAAGACCTGCAACACACATTGCAGCACATGCAGACATGAGAGGACATGTTGGTGTCTCATGAAGACTTACTTACAGTAGGGTCTCTTTGGGACGGAGCACTAACAAATATATTTTCATGCTTGTTTGTTTTTTATGGTTAAAAAAAACAGAATTTTCAATCATGCTTCTTTGGTTATCCTAAATGACAAAAAAGCAGTTACAAAGGAAAGGGTTCACAATGAGGTGTGATGATTATTCAGCGTTACGGGGACCGTGTTAATATAAAACAAACTGCTTTTATTGTAATTGGGCAACACAAATTAAATTCCATTCATTTCCACTGAGTCAGGGGGAAGAGACACATTTCCTTTTAAATTCATTTTCTTTTCAGAATTTGTTCATCAATCACATGTCCAAAAAGAAAACCAAATCACTTACAATCCAAGCAAAAATAACAAAAAATTGCAAAAACGACAACAAAAGCGAATGTTGTGTACATTTATATACATTAATTAGAGTTTGATCACTTTGACGGGCCTATGCTTTTTAAGATAATAATAATATCAAATGTATATAGCGCCTTTCATAAACCCAAGGACGCTTACTTCCATAACATAGTGACATCACTATGTCACACTCAGGCTTCTATTTGCCAGCGCTCCAACACATTGTACGGGACATCTCTAAGCAGCTAACCAATCAGAGCAGACTGGGCTCTGGTTTCAGACAGAAAGAGCTTTTTGAACATAAGAGCATGAAGACATGTCACAGTAGAGTTGCTAAATATAAATATCAAAAAATGTAAATGAGCATTACGGACCATTTCAGTTAAAGATGGAACACTTGTTCCCAAAAACAGTACTGATACACTTCCTGGCACAAAGCAAAATGAAATACAACAAATAGAGATTGATATCCAAAAGAAACGTATAATCTGCGTAAACACTAAATATAACTAATAGTGATACGCTGTTTTTTGTAAACGAGATCTACGATTTACATTAAAATCATCATTCTCCAACAAAAACACTATGACCTTTTATCTTTAAGACCCATCAAAGTGGAAATAAAGTTGAATATCAACTTCTAAATACAAATAAATAAAATAAATCAGACAGAGCTACGGATTTACAATTGTATCTGTTTCATTGAATGCATCGTCACACTACAGCAGAGTAATGTACAGTACAATCAAATTCTAACACTGCTGGCTTCTGATCTGCAGAGAGTACTACACACACACACACCACACACACACACACACACGCACGCACGCACACACACACACACACACACACACACACACACACCACACACACACACACACACACACACACACACACACACACACACACACACACACACACACACACACACACACACACACACACACCACACACACACTGGAGAGTATCAGGTTGTGATGGCTGGGGGATGAGGTCAGTCCTGAGGGGGATCCAGACTCCCTGGAAAAGACCTGCTGTTGTTCCTCTCTCTGTCTCCCTGTCTCTCCCTCTGATGATCTCATCCACTCAAGTCACACACACACACACACACACACACACACACACACACACACACACACAACACACACACACACACACACACACACACACACACACACACACACACACACACACACACACACACACACACACACACACACCGGGGAAAGCTCTGCCGGTGGTTCCCTGTTAAAGGAGCTTCATGATTTGTAGACGTTGATCACCAAACATGATTGAGCTTTAGCTTAAAATAAACGTTGAAGTACGACAGTTTGAACTCCAAGGATCTTCTTTAAAATGACTTTACATGAGCTCTGCAGACTCAAACCAAAGGAAGGACTAAATCCTAGAGGAATTTATTTTCAGAGGCCCTTGATAGAGACTTTAGACAGATTTTCTTTTTCTTAATAATTGCATTTTAGGAAATAATAAGATTACAGGGCATATCTCACAAGATGAAATACAGATTTAAATTCACAAATAGGAAAAAGAGAAAAGAAGAGAAAAAAAGGGAAATAAAGGAAATTAAAAATGTTATTTAATCATCATCATCATCTTCATCATCATCATCATCATCATCATCATCATCATCAGCTCATAAGTACATGTATTGCTAAATCTAACTGGAGGGTCATTAGCAATGATTTGTGTTCTATACATTTCCCATCTATCGTCAACAATGTAAACTTAATTTCCAAGTTTTCTTGATAATCTGATATTTTGAGTTTTTTCCGTAATCATCTTTTAATTTATTTTTAATATTGATACTTTTATTATAAGCAAAATAATTGTTGAAAACAAAATACAAAATGACAAAAGGATATAAAATGCAAACTTTCAGTTGAGATAAGTGTGCATTCAAAATGTATTAAATAGATTCAACTGCAAAAAAAAAGGAAATACATGTGCAGAAATAAAAAACTAAAAAGGGATTAAAATATCATACAGACACATTTCAATATTTTCAATTTAAAGCTTGATATCCTGACAATAAATATAATTGAATTCATGTTTATAATACCTTTTATATTTAAGTATAACATGGCCTGTTTCTATCAAATATACAGGGATTTCCCTTGTTTTTTGGTTACCAATGGTGATGGAAACATGCACTTATGTATTCTTTAGTAAGCTGCCAATAAGCTTAATAACTGGGCATTACTGTACACCAAGGCTTTAAATCATTGACTGAATAAAAAACCGACATTGTGACTTCTAAAAACCAGGAAACGCAGGTGTGACAAATACTAGTGAGGGTGAAATGTCTGCTGTTGAAACGTCTGTTAATGAATATTAGAGTAGTTTTTAAGAGCTGTTAAGAAAACTGGTATCAATCAAGTTCTCATTCAGGAGACAAATTAATTTTTGAGGAGACTGTGAATCATTATTGGCTTCACTTTAACACAATTGCAGGTGGAACCAATTTTCCCAGAACATTAATAATCTAGGGGCAATTAAGGCTCTTTTATTATTTTTATTAAAAAGAATAATATCAAGTGAGTCAATTAGCTTCAACGCTACTCTTTTCTCAAAACATTTGTGGAGAGAGGGCGGACTTTGGAAATGCCCTCACAAATAGAATCAAATTCTGTGGGAAACACTGCACTCTATGCATCTATGCATCTTAAAGGAGACAAAGCCTTAAGAAACAGGAGAGTAATTAATGGAAGTCAATTCAAAGTAATATATGATTTAAAAAAAGACACACACCTAACCAAAGACGGCCTGTTGTTCAATGGCTGCGTATAATTGACAGACAGACATTCTGACACACACACACACACACACACACACACACACACACACACACACACACACACACACACACACACACACACACACACACACACACACACACACACGTAATATATCAATGAGCGGCTCTCAGGACTGTCTCTGCTCCTCCAGCTGCTCCTCATGTTGTTCTGCTTACAGTCAACAAGTGTGAACAAAGGAGACTTTCTCCACGTCACACACTGACTGCCTTCCTCACTGTCTTAGTCTCTCTCTCTCTCTCTCTCTCTCTCTCTCTCTCTCTCTCTCTCTCTCTCTCTCTCTCTCTCTCTCTCTCTCTCTGTCGCCTCATCCCCTTTCTCAGTTTTGGCACATGTTGCCACGGTAACTACAGCCTCCTTTTTTTGGTGAAGTTGTAGTGGTGCAGTTTTTAAGGCCCATATTGGTCTCCTCAACGCATACTCTATCAGGCAATCAAACACACACATCACCACCCTCTGTTCACACACACACACACACACACACACACACACACACACACACACACACACACACACACACACACACACACACACACACATCACCACCCTCTGTTCACACACACACACACACACACACACACACACACACACACACACACACACACACACACACATCATTAACATCTATTTGTACTGGTGACACACACATACGAACACACTCACGCAGACATACAGTACACACACACTAACACACACACATTCACCGCACAATCACACACACACACACTCCTTCATTGACATCCCTCTCTGCTTACAGAGTCCACAGGCGATTACCCAGAGTGCCGCTGGCCTGAGGATCGCCAGGAGAGAGGCAGAGAACGCGCAGTGATTGGAGGAGGAGGTGTAGCCTCAGAAGGAGCCCCCCCCCAGTGAAACCCATTCCCTCGCCTGAGGAGGCGCAGTGAGTAGCCGATTTCTTTCTTTGGGAGCCGGGGTTAATTTCACCCTGTTTGTCTGGGAGGGGTCATTCCAATGTTTCCCCTTTCACACCAACGTGGTTCCAGGGCCGGTTCGGAGCTAGAGCCTGAAAAGCACCGGTTTTTCCTGTTCACACCGCAGCGGAGCCGCCTCTAAGCTCCGAAAACCGGTGCTTTTCAAGCACCAACAAATTGTCGGTCTAGAAGCAAGAACCGCATACGTCACGCTTACGTCGGAGGCGGGGGCAGGGGCGGGATCAACCTGAGCAATAACAGTTTATGGCGAGTACGGCAAATGAAAGTTGTAACAAGCAGTTGCGCTGAGCAAAGTGACTAGAAGGCAACCACACACTTATTAAAAAAAACACACTTTATAAAGTCAGGCAACACTAACCAGGCTTCGTGTGATTCTGTTTATTTGTACCTTACTTTGACCATCCGTTCGCTGTTATTGATCATTGTGGAGAGCAGGCAGACGTTTTGTTTGTTATTATAGCAGCTATCGGATGGAATCAATACATGGGCTGCACAGGTTGTCATGACTCATGTCCGACTATCACAAGTAGAATCATAATGAAAAATACGCCGGTAAAATGTGCCGGCTTATGCCACAATAGGATAGCAACAAGTAGTCAAGATAGTCAGTTTAGCTTCGGTTGCTATGCTAACATCACCCATTTTATACCAGAGAAACTTTCATAACAGCGTTGTGATGCCAAACCGCGGGCAGCACTGCAGCGGTTGGTAAATGCCGCTGAAACACATTAATAAACAATGAACCACGGCACTCTGGTGAAAAGTACAAGGGTTGAGAAGTAGTTATTTAATTTTATCTGACTTCGTATGATTAAAAGCAACACGATCATCGATCCGACGCCGTTGAAAATCAGCGACGTAAACGGTGACGTCATGACGCAGCAGCGGTAGCACCAGTCGGGGCTCTGGGCGGTGTGAACCAAACGGGGCCTGAAAAGAAAAACCGGTTCCGAACCAGAAAAGCTCTAGCACGGAGCTAGAACGGGAACCGCGTTGGTGTGAAAGGGGCATAACTGAAACCTTTATTTTAAGTTTCAATAACAATATATATTAACAATAATATAAAGGCCTCATTAAACTTACATTCACATTTTTGCAAACTATAAACCCTTTTACAAATAGGGTAAACCTGTCAACAATATATTTTTAAATAGTAATTGAAAAAACATTCTTGGCAATTTTGTAGATAACTTTCAAACCTTCAAAATGAACTGATACGATACCCATTGGTTTTGATATGTTTTTAAAGCTGTTTTGAAGCCTTGTTCTATAAAAAAAAAAAAAAAAGTATTTATCTTGAAACGGGTCAAATTTGACAAGAACACAAATGAGGCTTAATATGTTTCAACCTCTCGTGGAAAGTATTTTATTTAGAAATATTTTGCTGTTTGACTGCAAAGAAAACTTCTCAGTTGTTTACAAGTTTAACCTTTTATTTAAAAAAGCAACATTGCAGGTTTTATCTTGGCTGGTGTACTTGTATGATCTCAGAGGGAAGGCGTTACGTTAGCCGGTAGTTTGCTCGTGTTAGCTTCACAGAATAATGACACTAAATGCTGCCAAGTGTTGGACTGGTGCTGGTGTGCGTAGCTCTATCTGTGGGGAGAAAAACACTTTAAGTCTGGACCAAACACTCATGAATCATCCTGCCTCCACCATCGGAAAAGGACGTGTGTAAAAGCTCCTACATTAAGAGCTGAGCGGTGAAGTTTCTCACAGGAAAGTTGTTTAAATGCCATTTTGGGATTCAACATTTGCAGCCAGATCTTATAGTGTTGGTTAAAAGAGCCTTTATTTTGTAGTAACAGCAGGAGATGTAACTCCTCTGTTAGTACATGACGTTGACGGTGAGGGTGTGTGGTTGCAGCAGTTGAAGCTCTTCTTTTTTGTTGCAACACTCCTGTATTATATGTGTCCAGTGAAACGGTGAGACTTTTAACTGATGAATTATGCTATCCTTAAACAGAGCCAGAGTGTTGTCTTCCAATTAAAGATTGATAGTTATCTCTGAAATGAAGACCATCTGAAGGTTTTTGTAAATCGTTATCCAAACTTCTCAGAGGCCGTCTGTTTGCAGATCCTCAACTCAAGACTCAGAACAGACCTGAGTGAGGTAAGACTGAAGCCAAATATCCAAATGTAACCAACATAATGTCTAAGAGACAAAAGTGAACATTAAGAGTTTTTGGTCATAAGTAGGACTTTTAATAAGACTTTATTGCAATGTGTGCAATATCAAAATCAAAGTTTGCCCAATATTTGGTAAAGGCAAATATGTGAAAATATCTTAAAGGTGGGTAGGTAAGAATGGAGAAACCAGCTCGAGTGCGCTAGAATTTGAAAGTACGCAACCGAAAAAAATGTGCCCCTTCCTTCAGACTTCCTTACAGAGCCCCTCCTCCAACACACACGAACGCGCACATGACCAATGAGGGCACGAGATAAGTTTGTGCACAGATGGAAGGCTGACAGGCAGGTAGGCCATCCAGTTATTTTAGCCGGGTCGACTCAGATGATTGGTCGTGCTTTTTACAGCGCCACGGCTTCCACAGATGACATCTTTTATGTATTTATTGTCAAAACATTTAATATATTCATTGCTATCGGGATGTTAAGAGCATTCCATGGAATATAACAAAAAGTGTTTCTGAAGTGAATCAGGATGTCCGCGGGGTCTTAAAAAGTATTAAAAGTTGATAAATCAATTTAGCGAAAATTAAGGCTATTAAAAAGTATTAAACGGCATTTCCCAAGGTATTAAGAAGTTCCACAGCAACGACAACATGTAACACCCTTTAATTATTGTAACGACATGTCGGGAAACCCCCTCAAGGCGACCCCATGCATAGCGCGCCGTAAAATGCTGCTTCTTATTTTAAGTTTCGTTGCCGTGCTCCATCTGGGGGGGGGGGGGCATAGTTCAAAGTTTTGTCAATTGTTTTGTTTATTGGTCAAATACTGGTTTCTAATGGTTTCTGAGGAGTTTTACTGGAATGAAAGAGCACAAAGTGTCTCTACAGAAGCAACAAAGCAGCATACTGCATTAAACCTGACCTTGACAGAGAGGTTGAAGTTCATGTGGAGAGGAGGCTTCAGTAGTCTGTCTGTTTTATCCCTTGGGAACAATGCCTAAATCAATGGTTTCTTTTTCTAATAAACCTTGCATTGGGTTGGTCACACAATTCATTCTCTTGCGCTTTGTTCTATCTGAATTATGAGAAGGAGTTATCACAAACTGTTTAGTTGTGCTATCTTACAATCAATACTGTATATAGTAAATGTGAGGTAAAGTGTGTTGCCAATGTAACCGGTTAGAACTCGAAGTGGCGATGAGGTCTTAAAATGTATGGAAAGGGGTCTTAAAAAAGGTCTTAAAAGGTATTAAATTTGACTTCAAGATTCCTGCATATACCCTGTGAATTACCTACCCTACCTTTAATCAAGTTTTGCAGTGCTGCAAAGAAGTGACCGCCTACAAAGTGTATTCTAAAAAATAAATAATCCCTGTTTCGTACAGACACTTAAAAATAATCACACTATGATGGTTTTAATATATATTTTTAATTGTAATGTGAACAATGTTGAACATAATGCTAATTCCCTCTAAAATCGTGATCATATTGCAATTGCAATATCAGTCAAAGTAATTGCACAAGTTAATATTTCCAAGTTGAACAGCCCTAGTCATAAGAAAATGTTTTCAGTAAAGGCAAGGCAAGGCAAGTTTATTTATATAGCACCTTTCAGTAATCGACAATTCAAAGTGCTTTACAAAATAAAATAAAAGACATTTAAGAATAAATACAGTAAAAACACATTATATAATGGCATTTTACAACAGGTATTTAAAAGGCAAAGATAATAAGATAAACACAACAGTTATACAATACATGAATAAAAAGCAAACTGCAGTGTGAATATGAGCAGTTCAATTAAAAGCAGTTCAATTAAAAGCAGCGGCAAAAATATATAGTAAGAGTTTCTGCGGACGTGCATGATTTGGGCAGTTTGTTCCAGAGTGTCGGGGCATAATAGCTAAACGCCGCTTCTCCATGTTTTGTTCTTACTCTCGGAACCGAGAGCAGACCCGTTCCAGAAGACCTGAGACACCTTGATGGTTCATAATTATGCAGGAGATCGTTGATATACTTTGGTCCTAAACCATTTAGTGATTTAAAAACTAGCAATAGAACTTTAAAATTAATTCTTTGGCCGACTGGAAGCCAGTGTAAATATTTCAGAACTGGACTGATGTGATCCACTCTTTTAATGTTAGTGAGGACTCGAGCAGCAGCGTTCTGAATCAGCTGCAGCTTTCTGATGGATTTTTTTGTCAGCCCTGTGAATACACTATTGCAGTAGTCGAGTCTACTGAAGATGAAAGCATGGACAAGCTTTTCTAAGTCCTGTTGTGACATTAGTTTTTTAATCCTAGATATGTTCTTCAGGTGATGGTATGCAGATTTAATAACTGTTGTAATGTGACTGTTAAAATTCAGGTCTGAGTCCATCACTACACCTAGATTTCTAGCTTTATTAGTTGTTTTGTAGTCTGCCAACTGAAGCTCTGCGATTACTTTTAATCGGTCTTTCTTTGCTCCAAAAACAAAGATCTCAGTTTTTTATTTGTTCAATTGGAGAAAGTTCTGAGTCATCCAGTCATTGATGTGCTCAATGCACTTGCTCAGTGTTCGGAGAATAGTCTCCTGGTGTAATTTTAAAATAAATCTGGGTGTCGTCTGCATAGATGTGATAGCTTGGATCGTTGTTTTTAATAATTTGAGCCAGTGGTAGCATATAGATATTAAAAAGCAAAGGTCCTAAGATGGAGCCTTGAGGAACCCCACATGACATATTTGTCAAGGTTGATGTGTAGTTGCCTATCGAGACAACTTTTTTTCTGTCCTTTAAGTAGGAACTAAACCAATTTAGAGCTGTTGCTGAAACT